GCACCTTCATCAAAAAATTCACCATTAATAATTACTCCAGCCTTTCCTTGCCTGAACTCAATGGAAACATCTAGCTTTCTAGCATATCTCAGAAGATCTGGCCAATCTGATTGACACCCAAATTTGGTACGACTATTCAGGTAGCCGTCTTCATTAATCTCAAACCCAAGGAAGTTCATATCATTATCTGTTGAAGCAACTTTCCGTTTTTCCATATCCAAATTAAGGGATTGACGTGCAATGTTCTTGAACTGTAATTGGGGATGATTCAACATCTTAATGAGAAATGCAACCCTTGTTGACCTATACACATCTGACACACGCTTAACTCCAATCCCTCCGTGCTCGCGTGGTAAGAAGATGATCAGCTGTGTTGTTGTTTCATACAAATCGTATATATTTCGAACTGCCTTCACCAAGGACTTTTCCATGAGTTCCAACTGCTCCTCTGTAAACCTTGTATTGTAAAAATGGTGGAGAATCTTCGCGAGAGCCAAGTTATTTAAAGCACTAGCCTTTAGAGCAAGGGGCAATTTGCAGCTTGTTATTTTTTCCAATAAATCTTTATAACTTTCTATAATTTCATACACTTGCACAGCATCTTCGCCGGAAAGTGAGAGAGACTTTCCAAGATACTTATAGGACTTGTCACGGGGATAAACTTCGATGGCATTTCCTTGAATTGACAAAGTTGGCTTTTTATCTGCCTTGCCTTTGTACCAGTTATTCCCAGACCTCCTTGCATACATAACTGCACATTTACTGGGTTTCACTTCTAAACCTGCTATCTTCATGGCAACTTGTCCGATCTCAAACATCTCATTTATAATCGTTACGTCATAACTGACAACAACAACATCATCCGCAAAAGCTTGCAATGGATCCTTCTTTCATCTTCGATGCCCTGCCTGATAACAGCCTCTCTTACCATAGGCTTGCATACTCTGTCAATCACCAATATGAATAAAAGTGCACTCAAAGGGTCACCTGTCTTTGTTCCTCTGATCATATTGAACTCTTTACTCAATTCAAACCCACAAATCACAGAAAACGAAGAGTAACGGTATAGATCTTCGACCAAGCAACAATAAATCAAAGGAATGTCAAATTCCCGGAGAGTTACAGTGGAATGTCAAATTCCCGGAGGAATGTCAAATTCCCAGTGAAAACTACAATTACAAATCTCACTATTACAAGGTAATTTGTAACTGGCTAGCCTGTTCTTACAAAATAAGACTATTACAATTATTACAATTTTATTACTAAGACAAAAAAAAACGTTAAAAGGATTAGTCCATGTTTTGTTCCTACAGCAAAAAATGTAATAGGTGGTACGAATGGATATCGTAGAAAGCTTAGAAATGAGATATCGTTTGTGTCGATCATCGATGGAAAGCGAGTCACACATTTCAAGGAATGAGCTGCATGAGTCGCCGAAGATGCCAAGAGAGCTGATGGAGAGATTTACAAATATGACAGATTTGAACCTTGGTCTTAGATCTGAGACAAGGCGAGCATATTTTAAACGTTTTCTTTCTGCATTGCAGTTAAGCTTAGTTTCAAATCCTATCGTTAGTTCCAAAACATAAAGAATGTTTTCCTTTGTACGCAGAAGTAGATCTGGGCGCAGATTGTCTCCAGTTATGATGGATGGTGAGGAGAAGCCAGGTATATCGGCAAAAAGAGAGGATCCCTCTATTGCTTTCAAGGAGGTTGCAAGAAAATTTAGAGCAGAATTATGACGCCAGGTATAACGACCTTGTTCGAGATAAACTTTGCAGCCTGCAACGACATGAAGTAAAGTTTCGGGAAGAAGGCAGAATTCGCAATCAGATGATTGGCTTAGGTTCCAAAGGCTTAGATTTTTGCGCGTAGGGAGAGTATTGTTCAGGTACTTGATGGTGAAGTTGAAGATGTTCGTGGGTAGGTTGCTCTGCACAACAGACCAAAGACCATTGAGCTTTTTAAGAGAGTGGTCCAACAGAAATGAAATAATAGCACCCTGGGATAGTAATTGGTGTGCCAAGCGCTCTCTACTGTCTGATTTTACTGCTTTCAGTACATCTTTGGTGTTACGGTAAATGTCGTATTGCAGATTCATCCCACTACTGGTGTTTTTCCATAAAGCTTGAATGTTTGTGTTAGGAGAAGTTCGGAGGGCATTGCGTGAAACAGTTTGGCATTGAGTGAATGTAGCTGAAAGATCTGAAAAATTTGACAGAAGGTAGCTGAAGATCGAGACCAAATTGATTTTTAGAAAGAACTACACTAGTTAAAGTAGCACTTATGGGAAGATCAAGCCACTGACAAATGTATTTAGAGACAAGATTATCGAGGTTCTCAATGACCCAGGTCTTCGATAGGTCTGCAACAGTGAAGTGCCAAGAAACTTTGGACAATACATATCTGTGGTACAATAGAAGTTTATTTTTTGGATGCAGAGGCAAGTCATCAATTTCTTTCAGAAGGCTGGGAAACATTGATAGCAGTTTTTCTTTATGACTGCCATTGGTCATTTCGAAGTCAAAGAAGCGGCCGAGGTATTTGAAAGATTCTCCATTTTTAACAACAGGCCCGCTTTGGTTGTTCACGAAAAGCTTTGGCTGGAACTGAAGAGATCTTGTTGAGTATTTCTTAATGCCAAAGGTGACACATTTATCCACCCTTATAATGATAATAAAAATGATAATAATGATAATAATAATGAAGGTGGTGGAGGATTGCTTAAGAAGGTGGAAGAGGATTGCTTAATGTGGAAGATACTATAAATCTTGCAATTATTGGTCTTGAAAGGTATGTCAGCAACAGTAATGAAAGGTTACTAACAGCAGCTAGAGCGGAAAATGAATATTATGGAGAGAGCGAAGCTGAGTATAAGGTGCGGAAAAGAATGAAAGATGTCAGGCTTGGAAGGAAAAGACCTTGCATGGACAATTTTTAAAACAGACAGAAAATGAAGCAGGAAGTGATAGATGGAGTTGGCTTAGAAATACAGGAATTAAAAGAGGAACAGAATCAACGATAATGGCAGCACAGTAACAAACAGTACGTACCAATATCATTAAAACTAAGATCGATAAAACACAAGATGAGAGTAAGTGTAGACTATGTGGATAGGTGGATGAGATGGTGAACCACATCATTAGCGAATGCAGTAAGTTGGCTCAAAAAGAGTACAAACGTCGACATGATTGGGCTGGAAAACGAATCCACTGGGAAATGTGTCGTAAAAATTAGATCGAAGTGAAGACAAAATGGTACGAACATCAGCCAGAGACAGTACAGGAAAATGAGAGATACAAGGTATTGTGGGACTTCAACATCCAAAGTGAGCAAGTGATCAAAGCTAGACGTCCGGATATGATTGTCATAGATAGAGAAACAATGAAAATCATGGACTTTGACATTCCCTATGATATGAGAGAAAACTCAAAGGAGGTGGAAAAGATCGAAAAATATCAAGACCTTGCAAGAGAGATAAAAAAGTTATGGAGCATGAGGGTGACAGTAATTCCAATTGTTATAGGAGCACTTGGAACAAAACCAAGGAAACTGAAGAAGAGATTGGAGGACATTGGGATTGAAACACGGGTTACTGAGTTGCAGAAAACTGTGATCTTACATTCTGCCAGGATTTTGAGAAAGGTTCTCGAGATTTGAGAAATTTTATTATTCTATATTTTATATTCTTCTACTTACAACAGTAACCTCACTTTACAGGTAGTTACTATCGGCTAGCCTGGTGACAAGTTTACTAATTTTACAAAAGTTATAACATTTAAATAAATCATATGAGTGCAAAGAATCTTTAGAAGGAGAGCAGTTCAGGGTTTGTCCAAGTCTTATTGCGCATACAGAATATATAATAGGATGTGCGTATAATTATTGCTGACAGTTTTTTAATTATAAAATTACGGTGTTGGTAGTCAAGTTTTAGTTCATCACACATATCGATGAAAGAATCACAGGAGTTACCAAAGATACCGAGACAGCTGATAGATAGATTAACAAAGTTTACTTTTTTGAACTTAGGGCGTAGTTCCTTTAGAAGGGAACGGTACTTCTCAGCTTTACGCGAAGCGTTATTGTCCAGGTTAGTCTCGAACCCAACAGTTAATTCGATGACATACAGACAGTTAGAAGCAGTTTTGATTAGCATGTCGGGACGGAACGAATCGCCAGTTATGATACATGGTGATAAATAAGCGGGAATGTCAGCATATATGAATACATCTCGGAAACATTGAAATGATGATGCAATGAAGTGCAGGGCAGAGTCGTGCCTCCAAGAAAAACGCCCTTGCTCAAGGTATTTGTTACATCCAGCTACGACATGAAGAAGTGATTCAGGCTGAAGGCAGAATGAGCAATCTGGAGAAGAGCTAATTTTCCATAAGCAGAGGTTGTTCCTTGTGGCTAGTGTGTTGTTGAGATACCTTATCGTAAAGTTGAAGATGTTTTTTGGAAGTTTACTTTGAGCTGCAGACCAGAGTGAGGTTAACTTTGTATATGAATGCTCAAGCAGGAATGAAATGATGAAGCCTTGAGATGTTAACTGAGTTTTGAGTTTTTCAGTGTGTTCATCCCTTACACATTTCAGTACCGCCTTAGTGTTCTTGTATGCGTCGAACTGTATATTAGGTCCATAATTGGTGTTCATCCATAGGGATTTGATGTTTTCGTTGGGCAAAGATTTGAGTGAGTTTCGAAGAACAGTCTGGCACTGTTGAAACTTTACGGAAGGAAGCAGAAGCTCAAGACCAAAGTGTTTACGAGAAAGAACTATGCCAATAATAATAATAATAATAATAATAATAATAGGGACAACACATACAATCTTCAAACCACCAGGGAATATTCTTGGTCCCGTTTACAGAATTTATATCCTGCACAGCTTTTATGTAATCTTGGTGTGTATAAAATCTATAGTGTTTATGTAATCGCAAACATGATTTTTTAATTGTTTCTTTTAATGTAGCAAAGATATATTCCAATTTTAGAAACGCAAAAGGTCGCAGAATGAAATAAAAGCCAAAGCCCACGAACAAGAAATAAAAAGGTATTAATGTTTCACCTCTAATTACAGAGTTCCTGCTGGTATAACTGAAATCAATTCAATATGTTATGTAGAACTCTCTTTTTGGGACCTGTAACGTTAACTGGTTCGCATCTAAGCAGATCCCAGTTTGCCGTTCACATGTCACAGCTGGCTTCCCAATAGTTTTTAGAAAATAGTTGCTTGTAGCCAGCTCTAAAACAAGTTGACAGATTCTCAGGTTCATCCATTTTCTTTTAAAACATGAAATATGAATCAGCAAAATTAGTTGAAAGGCTAATCAGTTAAATTATTCAGTGTTTCTTTAACCATTTTATATTCCGCGGATTTTTTAATTCTCAGGTTAAAATTAGAACTGGAAAAAAGCAGAGCAAAGGATGCATCGTCTGGAGACGCAGTAAGTATTTTTCAATTCTTTCTTACAGGTTTCTTTCAGTGTAGTGATCACAATTCAGTTCTTCTAATGTGAGTTTTTTTATGTAGCTCTCCAAGTTTTGTTCCCCTTCTTCCATTTTAGTTCTTCCGATCTAGTTATCCCAATTTAGTTCTCCCAATTTAATTCTCTAAAATTGGTTCTCTAAATTAAGTTCTCTAAATTTAGTTCTCTAAATTTAGTTCTCCCAATTTAGTTATCCCCAATTTAGTTCTCCCAATTTAGTTCTCTTAATTTAGTTCTCTTAATTTAGTTCTCTTAATTTCGTTCTCTTGATTTAGTTCTCTTAATTTAGTTCTCCCAATTTAGTTATCCCCAATTTTCTTCTCCCAATTTAGTTCTCCCAATTTAGTTCTCCCAATTTAGTTCTCCCAATTTAGTTCTCCCAATTTAGTTCTCTTAATTTAGTTTTCTTAATTTAGTTCTCTTAATTTAGTTTTCTTAATTTAGTTCTCTCAATTTAGTTCTCCCAATTTAGTTATCCCAATTTAGTTCTCCCAATTTAGTTATCCCAATTTAGTTTTCTCAATTTAGTTCCCCCAATTTAATTCTCCCAATTTAGTTCTCCCAATTTAGTTTTCTCAATTTAATTGTTCCATCTTAGTTTGTCCAATCTAGTTATCCTCAATTTAGTTCTCCCAATTTAGTTTTCTCAATTTAGTTCCCCCAACTAAATTCTCCCAATTTAGTTCTCCCAATTTAGTTCTCTCAATTTGATTGTTCCATCTTAGTTTGTCCAATCTAGTTATCCTCAATTTAGTTCTCCCAATTTAGTTTTCTCAATTTAGTTCTCCCAATTCAGTTTTCTCAATTTAGTTCTCCCAATTCAGTTCTCTCAATTTAGTTCTCCCAATTTAGTTTTCTCAATTCAGTTCTCCCAATTTAGTTTTCTCAATTTAATTCTTCCATCTTAGTTTGTCCAATCTAGTTATCCTCAATTTAGTTCTCTTAATTTAGTTCTCTTAATTTAGTTTTCTTAATTTAGTTCTCTTAATTTAGTTTTCTTAATTTAGATCTCTCAATTTAGTTCTCCCAATTTAGTTATCCCAATTTAGTTCCCCCAATTAAATTCTCCCAATTTAGTTCTCCCAATTTAGTTTTCTCAATTTAATTGTTCCATCTTAGTTTGTCCAATCTAGTTATCCTCAATTTATTTAGTTCTCCCAATTTAGTTTTCTCAATTTAGTTTCTCCCAATTCAGTTTTTACTCAATTTATTCTCCCAATTCAGTTCTCTCAATTTTAGTTCTCACTTTAGTTTTCTCAATCAGTTCTCCAATTTAGTTTTTCATTATTCTCAATCTTAGTTTGTCCATTAGTTATCCCAATTTAGTTCTCTTAATTAGTTCTCTATTTAAAGTTTTCTTAATTTAATTCTCTTATTAAGTTTTTCTAATTTAGATCTCTCATTTAGTTCTCCCAATTTAGTTATTCCAATTTAGTTCTACATTTAGTTAATCCAATTTAGTTTTCTCAATATTAGTTCCACAACGTCAATGATGGTTAATCTCTAGAATGAAGATTACGTTAACACTCCTCACGTCTACACTCACTCGTGGTGTGCAACACTCGCTCGTGTCGGTCTAGTTATTGAGCAACGATACACCCATTTAGTTTCTGGAAGATCACGTAGATTATAACACACATCTATAGTTACTCAACATTTAGTTTTCGTCCAATCTAGTTATCCAATTTAATTTCTCCAATTAGTGTTCGATATTATAGTACTATATCTATATTAATATAGTTTCATTATATATAATAGTAAGGGCGTTGTGACCCAATTTACTTCTCCAATTTAGTTCTCCAATGTCAGTTCTCTCAATTTAGTTTTTCCTAATTCAGTTCTCTCAATTTTAGTTTCCATTTATTTTCTCAATTTAGTTCTCCAATTTAGTTTTCTCATTTAATTCTTTCTTTAAGTTTGTCCAATTGTTATCTCAATTTAGTTTCTCTTAATTTAGCTTTTCTTATTTTAGTTCTTCAATTTAGTTCTCCCATTTGTTTCTCAATTAAGTTTCCCATTTAGTTTCTCAATTTAATTCTTTCATCTTGTTTGTCCAATCTAGTTATCCTCAATTTAGTTCTCTTAATTTAGTTTTCCTTAATTTAGTTCTCTCAATTTAGTTCTCCAATTAGTTGATCCAATTCAGTTTTCTCCCAATTTAGTTCTCCCAATTTAGTCTCTCAAGTTTAGTTCTCCCAAATTAGTTCTCCATTTGTTCTCCAATTTAGTTCTCTAATCTAGTTTATCCCAATTTAGTTCTCTCATTTAGTTCTCCCAAATTTAGTTCTCCCAATTTAGTTCTCCCAATTTAGTTTTCGTCAATTAGTTATCACAATTTAGTTTAACAATGTTATTTCTCAATTTAGTTTCCAATCTTAGTTCCTCAGATGCTCACGATGTGTGCCAGCATGGTTGGGTACTCCAAGCTCTTCGCTGGATTATATTTGCAGTACTATTATTGCCAATTTAGTTCTCCAATTTAGTCTCCTGCAATCTAAGTTATCCCAATTTAGTTCTCCAATTTTAGTTCCTCCAATTTAGTTTTCTCAATTTAGTTCTCCAATCTCGTTATATCCAATTTAGTTTTCTCAATTTATTGCTTCATCTTTCTTTGTTCCAATTTAAGTTGCTCCCAATTTAGTTCTCGCCATTTAGTTCTCCAATTAAGTTCTCATTTAGTTTCCAATTTAGTTCTCCCAATTAAGTCTCCAAATTGTTAGTTCTCCCAATTGTAGTTTCCCCATTTAAGTTGATAATTTAGTTCTCCCAAATTTGTTCCCATTTAGTTCTCCAATTTAGTTCTCTCAATCTAGTTATCCCCAATTTAGTTCTCCATTTAGTTCTCCAATTTAGTTCTCTCAATTTAGTTTCCAATTTGTTTCCCAGTTTATTTCTCTCAAGCTTAGTTTCCAATTTAGTTCTCCCAATTTATGTTCCAATTTAGTTTCTCCCATTTAGTTCTCCCATTGTTAGTTCTCTGCAATCTGTTATCCAATTTAAGTCCTTCAATTTAGTTGTCCCAATTTAGATTATCCATATCTAGATTATCACCAATTTTAGTTTTTCCAATTTAGTTCCAATTTAGTTCGTATCCTTTTAGTTCTCCAATTTAGTTCCAATTTATTTCTCTGCAATCTATGGTTATCCCCAATTTCGTTCTCATTTAGTTCTCCAATTTAGTTCTCCAATTTAGTTCTCTCAATCTAGTTATACCATTAGTTCTCCATTTAGTTTCTAAAATAGTTATCCCCAATTTAGTTCTCCATTTTAGTTCTGCTCAATTTAGTTCTTCAATCTAGTTATCCAATTTGTTTTTCTCCAATTTTAGTTCTCCCAATTTAGTTCGTCACCAATTTAGTTTCTCTAATCTACGTTTCCATTTTGTCTCTCAATTTAGTTTCCCAACTTTAGTTATCCAAATTATAGTTTTTTCTCATCTAAGTTATTCATTTAGTTCTCCATTTAGTTCTCCAATTTAGGTTCTCTCATCTAGTTTCCAATTTAGTTCTCTTAATTTAGTTCTGCCAATTTAAGTTCTCCCTTTAGTTTCTCATCTAGTTATCCCCAATTTAGTTTCCAATTTAAGTTCCTCATTTAAGTTCTCACAATTAGTTCTCCAATGTAAGTTCTCTCAGTCTAGTTATCCCATTTTAGTTCCTTCCAATTTAGTTCTCCATTTAGTTATATCAATCTAAAGTTAACCCAAATTTAGTTTCCAATTTAGTTTCCCAATTTAGTTTCTCATCTAGTTATCCCCAATTTAGTTTCTCTCAATACTGTTATTCCATCTTAGTTTCTCCCATTTGTTCTCTCAAATTAGTTCTCCCAATTTAGTTCTCTATCTAGTTTATCGCAATTTGATCTCCCAATTTAGTTCTCCAATTTCAGTCTCAACTAGTTATCCCAATTTAGTTCTCTCAATCTAGTTATCCCAATTTAGTCTCCAATTTAAGTTTCTAATTTAGTTTCTCCCAATTTAGTTCTCCATTTGAGTTATCCCAAGTTTAGTTTTCTCTCAATATAATTAATCCATTTAGTTCTCCCAATTTAGTTCTCGCCATTTAGTTTTCTTCTAGTAACCAATTTAAGTTCTCTAATTAGTTTATCCAATTTAGTTCTGCCATTTAAGTTCTCCAATTTAGTTTCTCAATCTAATTATGCCCAATTTAGGTTCTTGCGGACCCATTTGTTCTCGCCAATTTGGTTATCCATTTAGTCTTCTCATTAGTTATCCATTTAGTTCTCTCAATATTAGTTCTCCCTTTAGTTCTCATTTAGTTTTTCATCTAGTTATTCCTTTAGTTTCCAATCTTTAGTTCTCCAATTTAGTTTCTCATCTGTTCCCAATTTAGTATTCTTATTTAGTTTCTCCCAATTTAGTTTCTCCCAATTGTTTTCTCAATCTTATGTTATACCCAATTTGTTTCCAATTTAGTTTCTCAATTTAGTTCTCCAAATTAAGTTCTCCCAATTTAGTTTCCCAATTTAGTTTTCTCAATCTAGTTTAT